TTCGCTTGGATGAGAAGCATTTCAATCACTAGCTAGCTCTACAGAAAACCACTGAAGGCTAAGGGGACTCCAGGATCATTGTAGGAGGTACTGGCCAAATGCATCTTTTGGAGAGGCATGTTCTCCAGTTTGAAGAATTGCTTTATGGAGCTTCTAGTTTTGTAAAGAGAAACCTAGAGCTTGGGCAGGATAAGAGGCAGGGAAAAGGAGGGCAAAATTTTACCCTCAGACTATGATAAAAAGTATCTGTAGCGATGAGAGAGGTTTTGTTGTTTTCCAGTTCTACCTAAAACACTAAAGTCTAAGCAAAATGTAAAGAATAAAGTAAAATGGAGAGGTCAGTCTGTTCAATATGGCAGGTAGATACAACCGAAGACAAAATCTGAAGGTGTTGGATGTTTCATTTCACTTTTACATTTTTGAAAAATATCTCTCATGAAGCCTCACTCTTCCACACAAGCCATCTCTGCTAGCAAAGTCAGCTGGTGTAAGTGCTGCCCTGAGGAATCCAAGGAGTACTGCGCCTTAGGAGACATGGAGACCCGGTGTCTGGGGGAAGCCTTAGGTAAAGTCGGGAGGTTGAGAGGTGAAGGATAAGATCTGGAAGGCAGGAAGTCAGAGGTACTGCCCAGGAAAATGTAATCCAGAAATTTGGAACAGGAGACAGAATTTCATGTGATCTATATTATATCACTATCTGTATACTAAAGGAAAGGAAATCTTGAAAGAATGTAGGATTTAGGATCTTTTGGGTCACTCTGGATCACAATATTCAGACTTGAATCTTGGTAGTTGAAAGATTTTGGACTTTATTTCACTACTGAAACCTTTTAATCAAGTGAAATGCCGAATAAAACCTACCAGAGACATAGTTTTGAAACCATAGGAATCTGCCTTTTGATATTCCAGACAGTTGATCATTCTGCCTGACTGATTGCTCAGTACTTGCTAATGGCATATCCCTTTCAGAGGGGTCATTCTTCCTCCTCCTGAATAGAATTCTTCAACTTCTACCAACTGGTTTTAGTGGAAAAAAAAGCCTTATTCTTTCCATGTCACAAGTTTCAATTCTTAGAAAGCTTTCATATACACTTACCTAAGTTGTATTTGTTCCAAGCTAAATGTTCTTCATCCTCCAACTACTCTCAAACTGTTTTTGAATTCATATATTATTTAGGATCAGAAATTACTAGCATCAATTGGAAACATAAACTGAGCAGAGAAAGGGCACTCACTTAAGATAAAAAGGAGGCCCCACCAAAGAGGGGCGCAGTCATACACACTTTAAACGCTGTAAAAGAAAATGAGAGGCGATAAACTAAGACCAGCCCAGAGCACATCCTCCTCTCTTAGCCCTGATATGTGGCTGGAAATGAAATCCAACTACATTCAGCCCAAGGGCATGCCTGGGATCACTTCAGGCCCTGGCAGTCACCAAGTCAGGGACAGGAAGGGGTTAGCTATCAGCAGCAGTGGGACTAAGCTCTTTATTTAGTGTTCATGAAATACCCCTCAGCAGTGGACTCAGCTGCAGATCACTTGTGCTAATGTGAGCTAATTTGAGCTCATCTTATTGACCTCACTGCATATCCAAGAGCTGCTGGCTCTTGGGCAATGCCATGGATTCTGAAGCTGAAATAGTACCATTCTAGAACCTTGAATCCATTGAGGGTTTGTTTGTTTGTTTGTTTGTTTTCCTGAGGAGGATGTGTTGGCCCATCTGCATCATTTGGTTCTAATAGTTGCACTGATGGTCTGTATTCAGTTTTCGTAGAGCCTATGGGCATGAGGTGAGCTTAGAAGATTAGGGCTGGTTGTACAGTTAGAAAGAGCCTATGTGACCAGCTTACTGTGACGGCTCATGAAAAGACGACATCCACCTCAAATACAATCTGAGCTTCCTTTTACCAAGGTGCTTTATGTACACATAGGCAGGTGTTCGAGACCTGGAGATGAGGAGCCGACTGTGGCCCAAACATTAGAGAACTCAGAAGCTGGCACCTGAGCTAGCAGGGCCCACATGCAGTAGTCGGCTCTCTGCTGTGTATCCACTGTGTGAGGCAATAGAGCATGTGACAGTTCACAGGTGCTTCAGACAATAAGTGATTCAGATACAGCCCCTGAGATGGAGCAGACTAGGAAGTATAGGTGTCTAACTCTTACAGCATTGGGGTTTTGATGAAGTACAGTGTTTCAGTTTCGCTGGACTTGAACAACTGTCTCCAGGAAAACAGGAGAGAGGGGTTACTGCAGCAGACTGTTTCTAAACCTGACAGAACATGTCTGTCCCAGGTTTCCATTGGTTATGCAAGAAGATGGGACAGAACCACCACACTAACCTTCATTTTTTTCTCAAATCCTACTTTATTTGGACCCACACCTCTTAGGAGAAGCAGTGTGATTTCATTATGTAAGGTCTTTTCTCCACAAATAGAATGCTGTAGACGTTTGAATTCTCAAAGTTCCATCTGCAAATGATTCTGAACACAAATGAATTAAAGTCAATGGATTGAAGAAAGAATCAAAGTAACCTGAGGTTGGTCAGGAGTTACTAAAACATAGCTTGGGAAAGCAGTTAGCTCAAGGGAAAGAGAATACATTTGAATGCATACACACTTAAATAAACCTATGTGTGCATATGAGTAATTTTTACGTACTACAACATGTGAAAAAAAATGAAAACAAAACAAAATAGACTCAGCTAGGTTTTGGGCTATATGTGAATCATGTTCTGCCCCTGTGGGTTGTGACTGTAATCAAGTTCTGGAACTGCTTTGAGGCTACTATAGTTTCCTCACCTATAAAATGGCAACAGTTTCCACTGTGCACAATTCTGATGAGGACCAAGAGAATTCATATGCTGTTCATGCTATTAAACTGATAAACAGCACGGAAAGTGGTCCAGAGGAGCAACTCTGACCAAGATATGAAGACTATTTCTTCTATGTTATGCAAAGAGAAGAGAAGGGAAAATGGAAATCAGAGTAGGGCCAAGAGTGGTTCAGCCATGGAGGGAACTGTATTCATTTATCAGTATCTTACTCTCTAGAACAATCCACTAAGGACCAACCAGGAAATCTACCACTCAGCAGAGACAGTCAATGCATGAGTCCTTAAGTCCCAGCACCCTTCCTCCCTCCTTCTCTCCACCTGCAACAGAGCAAGGAGCCAGGAGGGAACCTTGCTGCAGGTACACGGGAAGAGCCAGGAGGGAGCCTTGCTGCAGGTGCATGGGAGGTTGGACCCAGAGGAGCTCTAGAATTCTCATCATGTTTTATATACTACAAAATCAGGATTTTGCCAATGTCATATGCTTATTTTATCTCATGTTTACAATTACCCTGAAGAAAATGTAACCGAAAGCATAACTAAGATTCTGAGTTTGTGCTGAGGGTACAGCTCAGTGATAGAATGCATGGCTAATGTGCATGAGGCCCTGGGTGTGATCCCCAGCAAAAGGAAGGGGAAAGGGCGGGAGAAAGAGAGGGAATGAGGAAGAAGGAAGGAGGGAGGGAGGGACCTGGCATTTGACCTACACTGCCCAAAGTGATCATCGAGTAAAAGCTCAACCACAACTCAGGCCTAGACCTTCTCATTGTTGTAGTTTTTTCCTCTCTACTCTTTGAATCTCTCAGGCTTTCTTGGGGAATGCAACCTGAATGACCCATCCCCCAGGCTGCCTTCACCCATTGGAGTTGGTTAAATGCCAGCCTTTAGCATATTCTCTGTGGTTTCCAGAGGGGCAGGATCCAGCCCAGTAGCCCACAGTGGTAACAATTCATCCATAAAACAAATGCTTCCTGGCTCCCACTTCCTGTCTCCCCTTCCTCACTTCCTCATGTGTCCTACTGGACTCCCCTCCTGTGCAAACACTAGCACCAAACCATTGCCAGGTCTGCTTTCAAAGGAGCCCAAACTGGGACCAGTTCCAAAATTCACATTATATTTTTAATTATTGCTTTTGTATTTGTATTTTCAATTACCTTACATTCCTGTCAGCCCCAAAAGTAATAATGACCAGGGGTGGCTCATCAGTAAGACCTCAAGAATAAACCTTCCAAGTGCTGGAGAAAGGAACACTCTTCCTTCACACACAACAAGCAACTCTTGCAGATTCATGAAGCATCCATCCTGCCAACAACTCCCCAACTTCACAGCGAGGTGGTAAAACTTTTCGGGGTCTTTACTAATGGAGGGTTAGATTCAGTTTAGCTTTTTTTAGCCAGTAAACAAGAAGTTGTAGAATGTATCCCAAAAGTAAGATATTGTTTCTCAATTTAAGAAAATAACTGAATTCACAGGAGTAAGAAAAAGCCACATACACGTTAAAAGCATTTACTTTATAGAAAACAAGAAGAATTTCTTTGCCATGGAGTCTCGATTTCTCAACTCTGAACACATACTTCTAGGAGATTTTGAGAGATTTCAACACCTAAAAATGACCTGTTACTTTTTATTTTTAATGAAAAGAGATTCTCAATTTCTGTTGTTGATTTTATAGTCAACCATGTGAGTTCTGTGGGCTAAGGGTCTTTCAATTTTAAAATGTGTGTGTGTAACATTCTCACACGAAAATCAGAGGCACCGTAACCCACTGATGAGAGCCAGGCATTTCTCCTGCGGTTTTTCCTGGTCCAGTGATGCCAGACTGGTAAGTTGCGTACAAAAAGCTCACACAGCAGTTTTGTTTTATAAGACTAACCATTTATTTAACAAAATGGATATATGTCACATCTAGTTTTCTACTTTCTACATTTAAAATATCTGGGAAGTAAGACCCACCTTCTGCAGGATACATTATTACAAAAGAAGTAATTATAAATTTAGATCAACTAGAACACTTTCTCTAATGATTAAGAATTCACTTTCCTTTAGTGAAGTGAAAGGACAGGTTTTGAGAAGCGCACACCTCCCCGGGGAAGCCCCTCCCGGCACACTTACTATCCCCACCCCGCCCTCCCCCCCGCCCGCCCCCCCCCCGCCGCCCCCCCCCCCCCCCCCCGAGCTCCTGCAGGAGAGAGCAGGAGGAAGCCCACGTCTTCACTTCTCTACTTCTGCTTCCCGAGGCAAGCGTGAGTCCTTTCAACCCAGGACGGAGCTCCGAAGTAGCGGAGGTTTTTCTTTCCCTCCTCCCTCCACAGGCTGCACTCTGTCTGGTTTCTGGCTTCCTGCTGCTGACTGGTGTGCACAGCTGTCCTGAGTGGAGTGTGTGAGACCTCCTGAGTCACATGCAGCACCTGAGCTAACCACAGACCCGACAGCCTTGCTGTCACCAACTGCGGAACCTAAGGATCACTTGTGCCTCACAGAATCTGGGGGCTCTATCCCCAGGTGCAAAGTACACGTTCCAGGTTTCTCCAGGGCGAAGGCCGGGTGGACACCCTCGCTGAATCGGTGCCTCACGAGGAAGAGCAGCTGCCCGCTGTCCGCGTTGATGAACGCGAGCCTCTGGCCGGCGTAGTCCAGCAGGAGGCCCACGCGGCTGGGTGGTTCAGTCAAATGGACATGGCTCACGACGCCACTATAGAAGAACGTGTACCTGAAATCAGAATTTGGAAACCTTGAGGAATCTGGGAAGGAATAACTGATTTTTCCGTCATTAGCTTCAATTAAAAATAACAAGTTGCAATAACATTGTTCTAGATACTTTCCCAAATTCCTCCTGTGTGCTAAGTGCGCGGCTCACTCCAACAGACAAACCTTCTGAATAATTTCCTCCTTCCACATTAGGAGGTTGTCCCAGAATAGCCGGCACAGGCCTCTCTTGTGGTTTTTCTCAACATTCTAATTCTTTCCCAGCTGCCCACGTTTCAACTACCAAATTCACGGTGTGTCATTGTTTTGAATTAAGAGTCCTTGGAGGCTGCCACGTATTTTAAAAAGGCTTGCCTTCCATACAATTAATTATAGTTTTAAAGATTTATAGGTAACTTACATAAGGGACTTTTTGAGGGCTAAGAAGATTTCATTTCTTTTGCCAGCGGCCTGCCTGCAACGCGCTCCCAGCCCCCACCCAGCCTTCCCTTCCATCTCCTCCGTGTTCTCCGCAGCTGTGTAGCCACAGGGCCACGCTTCTGATTTTCCACTTTAATATGAATAAACCCAACACACGTTCCTGGGGAATTTGTGTATCTGGCGTGTCTCTGGGAAGAACACGAAGGACAGCAGAGGAACCCACATCACACAGAGCAGACACAAAAGTGGACGATGCTGGAAATCGCAGTCAGGGCACACATGCTGTGTCTACTCCACACAGTGCGCTCTTGTGGTTGTGAAAGGGACTTTGAGGCAGGGGGAGAGGAAGAAATTGCTGGACTTTTCTGAAATGCTTAATTGCCAGAAAAGTACACATTTAGGCTTTCTCCAGAATGAGGCTCTGAAATCAAGAGAAGGGAAGAAATGAGAGATGGAAGAAAAGAGATGTGCAAGAAATCTTTCTGCAGAACAGGTCTGTGTGCAAGGGGCGCACTCAGGCCATTTGAGGGCTGGGGTCTGAGGAAGTGCTCAGGCAGCAGCAACAGGGCCCTTCAGACCTGAAGGTGATATTGTCCTAAGGCCTAGAAATTCAAGCATTTGGGGGATGACAAATCAGCAGCTTCATGCAAAGAGAAGCTCAGGAGGCAGGATGAAGGTTCGGAAGGCAGGACACGAGACGCCCAGATGGCCAAGGACCTTTGAACACCTGTGAATGAGAAGGGTGACAGGACACTACATGGTTCTGGAAGCTGCAGCCACACAGCATGTCATGTGGCAATGATGGGCACAGTATAGCCAGAGCCCTCAGAGAAGCCTCTGGGGACAGAAGCACTCATACTCCAAGGAAGAATGTGTCACCTGTAAAACAAAGGATTCCTGGCTCCCTCTTCCTGGCTGTACCTTCCCACCTCCCATGTGTGCCCCTAGCATCTCCTCCTTGGCAATGCCAGCCATGAGCAGTAGTTTGCCAACCCCTGGTACAGACCAGAGCCTGGAGAAGTGCTGGAGACCCACTCTTTCTCCCTCTGAGGATTCCTTTGTTTAGAGAGAGCCCTTTAGCATCACCTGGTGGCATCTCTCCACCTTAGGGTGAGTTTAGAAAGAAAAACTGGCCATGCATAACCCAGCTGCCCCTGCCTCTTTCTTGCCTCTCCCTTTCCAGAGACCAGCTCTGCTCTGCCGGGTGGGAGATGGACCCCCACCAGACTTCTGGCTGGATTTGTCTGCCCCAGTGTTCAGTATAAGAAACTCTCATCTTCAGGTATGAGCCATGTTCTGTAAAACCACCTTCCTCAGAAATCACAGTAATAATTCAGTCTCCATGTATTTGGCTGAATATCACCCTTAGTTGGCTTAAAGCTTGGGCAAGGGGAAGGCTTCTTACTGGGTGTGGGGGGGGGTGTCACTGGATAACATAAAGAGAGGCAGAGCTCCAGCTCACCTCTGTGGCCCTGAGCAGTGCATATACCACGAAGTCTCTCCCTGTCCCAGCACCCTGGCCCGCACTGCCGAGCTCGAGCAGATGCCAAGTCGATAAGCAGGGCAGTTGGTGACTGTGGTTTCCCAGTAATGCAGGCCACAGGCAGGCAGCTCCTCACCCAGCACAGACGGGATTCTGCAAGCAAAATTGATCAATTAAGTTCAGCATGGGAATCTCCACCCATTACCTGCTGAGCAGCCACATTCACCTCACACTTCTTTACACAGAGTTCCATCTTTGGAAACCGCTGGAATTGGGCTCGAGTCATTCTCTGTTCCTATGTTCCTCACCCCAACAAGAATACACATTTGACATTTGTCCACTGGCTTACACAGCCTGCACATATGGCTCACTGCCTTTCTCAAAGGAGCTAGGCACCAGGAAACCATTGGAATAATGGCCAGACAAAAAAAGTGCACAATCTCTGCTTTTAGGAATAAGGTGGGACGCTTACTTGCAAAGTATTCTTCCAAGACTTGCAAAAATTGAATCTCTATAGGCTTCTTATGTTTCCTGGCCAGTGACCACCCAAGGTACAGCTCTTCACTGCTGAGGCTAGGTGGGCAGAGTGGAGGTGGCCCTGTACATGTGGGTGGGACTCTGTTGAGCTGTGGCCCACCCTTCATGACTATGTCCTCCACATTCTCTTTCAGTCTTACTGTAGCTGTCTTTACCAAGGGTGCAGTGCAGCCAAACCCTGGCATGCCCCCACTGCAGAGGGTGGCCTTGTTTGCATCATTTGCTCAATTTCGCTTAGAAATCGCTGAGACAGCAAGGAGGCATTTTTAATTTCACCAGAGTTTACACTCAGTCAGCACCTTCTCCCTCTTTCCTTTACCAGATGAAAAAATGATTAATGCAAGGGAAAGAAGTGTGTCTCATTTCCTCATCTTTCCCCAGCAATCTCATTTCAGAGAGGTGGCTCTAGATATGCCTCACTCCCTGGAGCAGAGCCTGGCTGCTTGATATTTATGAGCTAACTTTCAGATTAATAAGGAATAAACAAAATTCTATAAAATATATTACAGTTTTCATCAGTCATCTATGAAATACTGCCAACCTCCAGCCAAATTCTTTTCTTTTTGATTTTTTTGAGAAACCTAAAAAAGACAGAAAAGCCCAATTTATTTCCTAAACCTTTTTATTTTTCTGCAACAATTCATGCGTATATATTTAGCACTCACAATGTACCAGGGTCCATGCCAGATTCTAAGACTCAGTGATACCTAAGACAGGACTGTTATTTGACATTTGCTTCCGATTGAGTAGTTCGCTACTGACTCTGCAATAGTGAGCTCTTTTGCACAGATAAAGATCAGGTGCTGGGCCCAGTGAGGGTGTGGCCATCTCCTGGAGCAGGAGGACCTCCGTGGCAGAAGCAGCCCGACAGGCACAGTGCAAGTCCAACCGCAAGGGCACCCAGAGCTTCCCCGGTTGCCCTGCTACCCAACGAGCATGCCAGGGATTTTCCATATTTTCTCGTTTGGCCATTTTGACCCTCAAAATAACTATGATAGGCTACAGGCAAGTTGCAGCTCATTCTGCCACCCCATCCTCAGCTTTTGATTCTTTTCTTTAATATTCCTTTTGGGAGAACTACTGTGGGCTGAGAGTCTGTGGCTGGAATATGAACTCAGATTCCTTGCTACTCCATTTCAAGTTATTGATACAAAATCTGATTTGTTATTGAAAATAATAGGATTATTACTGGATTATGTTTTTCAATGAACCGGACATGATACCTTAACACAGCCAGTGTTTTAAACAAAACCATCTGTGCTTAGACTCAATAAAAACACTGACACTTGCTTCAAGCTATGAACTGTCCCTACCACTCCCACCCCTGCAGTGTCTCTGAGTGCCTCGTGCTGTGCACACTCTGTCGTTAAGTTCAGGCCACACTCAGGCACGCCCTGTACACCCTGAGTCCATGTGGAGGACCCGTCCTGTCCGCCGCGCTTTTCTCTTACTCGGTCAGCCGCCTTCTCTCCGCGAAGCTGATTTCTGTCCCATCGGAGGAGATCTGCAGCGCGGGATGAGCTGTCTCTCTCAGCAGCAGGAATCTAGTTCCTAGGACGGGTGAGATAGTAGGCACATCAGCATCCAATGCTGGGCCAAGCCCCACACTTTGGGTTTTGGTCACCCTTTCCCCGGACATCAAACCCTTTACAGTGGCCTCATACCCGCAGCTGAAAATGTCACTCAGCTGAGGACTTGAGCAGGTGGTCACTTTTACCTATGCTATAGGAGCACATGCTATGGGCTGGCTCTGTGGAACCACGAGAGGCAGCTCCTTTACCTCCCAGGTACCAAGTGGGCACCCATTCCTTCTGGGTGCCCTTTTGGGCCTGTGGGGAATGCACTCATGGGCTTGGGGGGAGCCCCATCTCTGACACTAGGCTCTCCTGCCTGCCTCCCAAACAAGGCCCAGGCCCTGGGCAATGTGTGAAGTGCCCCCTTCAGTCTCATGCCATCTCTGTATCTGGGATCAGCTAACAAAATGATCACCTTTTTATTTCTCATCTCCTTTGACAGTAATTGAGAACAGTCAAACATTTTTTTGTTGTGGGCATCATATGGATATTTTCCCCAAAATGTCATTGAACTATTTTATTACTGCTTTGACTTACACATTAATTCTCACACACTGAAATATACAGAACAAGACTGGAGACTCATTCACAGGCCTCACAGTGTGACCTGCTAGGACTGTCCTCCTCCCTGAGCACACAGTGCCCTGTGCTCATGGACAGCAGCAGGTGGCGAGGGAGACACAGAATACATGGGAAATTCTTGATCCCTGGAGGGCACATCTCCAGGTCAGCCCAATCTGCTTCCCTCAACTGGGCCATCACCACTACTTTCTAAACGAGAAGATAAAAGAAACATCTGACCCTTGACTGGTCATCTTAGGACAAAACCCTCGACTGGCAGCAGGTTGGGTGCTGCCTGAAGCTGCCCTCTAAATAACTTCTGGGGGTTGCAGGAGGGAAGGGATAAATGCTTGCATGAAAGAAAAAGCACCTCTGGTGGAGATGAGGGCAGCGTCACTCTGTTCACTTGTCCCAAATGCATTGATGGCTCTCACATAAAACAAATAATTAACGTTGGGTTGGAGGTTAACTTTTAGCTGGAGTCCTTTAATTCCAGAGAAAGACCTAAACACAAAGGGAAAACAATTTTAACTATAATGTTATGTGCTAAATTACTCATATTTCTATTCTTCACAGAATAGATATCTTTTATTAACATCAAATAACTTATTTTCTTCCCTTTTGTGATCAATCACTGGAGTCAGCAAGCTAGTTTCAGAAAACTGATCACTGTCCACTAAGGTTCTTTACCAAGTCATTTCTGTGCTTGTCAACTTGTGTCCCTTATGTTCCTTTCAAAATGCAAAACTGAGACCAAACACTACATTTTGTCCATTTGCAAAAGAACCAGACATCTTTTAAACATTTTTTTCAAAAGAAAAAAAATAAAACCTAGGGATTTTGTAAATAGTTATTCCAAGAATATATTATCTCCTTTATTAATTTTTCCCTCTATGCATTTTCTGGCTGAGAATGTAGGAACAAGGGGTCATAGGCAGGAAAAAGGATAAAACAGGACCTCATTGAACTTATTAAAAATCAATAGGAAAACATACTAAAAGCAATTTCTGCCTCTCCAGGTAGACTCTGCAGTTAGAGCAATTTGAAAGACAAAGGAGGGAGAAAGAAGCTAGACTGAGGGATATGCCAGGTAACACAGAAGAATTAACACTGAGGAAGCCAGAAATATATTGGCCAGGGTAACCAGCCTCCCTCACCCACCTGACCGAATGTGGAGGAGATAAGGGGCAGCCGCCTGAGGACTCTTAGGTAATGCGTAAAGCACTTGAGTGGCCTTTACCCAATCACTAACTCTGTGCTGCCTTTCTATCAGCCCTACAAAACCACCACACACACACACACACCACAAAGGGCAGGAAGAAATCAGCCAGACATAGTGTAGACAGGGGTGTGCAGCTTAGGACCCAAGATGGCTTGAGAGCCCACTGGGTAATGCCAACTTCCAGGTGCCCAAGGGGCTGGGAGATGTCACCAGTCCTAAACAGAAAGGGGCTGAGGACAAAAGTCCTCAGGTATTTCACCTTCAAATACTCCCTACTTATCCAGAGTAGCTGTCTGTCACATCTCTCTTTCCCCCTTTCCCCACCTTCAAATAAATTGTCTTCTTATTTTAAATTCTGCTTCTGGAGTTCTTTACTGACACCAGGTTTAAGATAGCAGGAGATGCATTTTCTAGAAGACCAGTGGTTTGCTGTCCATCCCTGGGTGTGACAAGAAGACTTTCAGAGTAAGATGATGTTAAACCAACTTATAATACAAATGTTTTTTAAATAACTGTTATCTTTTAAAACATCTTGGCAAGGAAAGAGAGTTCTAACACTCCCTTGAAAAATTCTTAAGGTTGCTATTTTATTGATTTATTCGTTTTAGTCTTTTTGAGACAGGGTTTCACTGTGAAGTTCAGAACTCACTATGTGGATCAGGTTGGCCTCCATCTCACAGTGATCCTCCTGCCTCAGTCTCCTAAGTGCTGAGATTATAGACACGCCCCACCAAATCTGGCCTAAAGTTGCTATTTTCAGATGATCTAATTACATTCAAAGAAACTACTGGCAGTGGGCTGGGCAGGTATGCTGTGGTACGACACACTGGCATTATTTTGTACCCACCCACTTGTTTAGTGCAGAAGCCCACAGGACTCTCAGGTGTGCTGACCTGGTAGAGTTTTATGCTCTTTCCCATTCTCTTTTATCCGCTGGATATTGTGGGCTGGAGTCCCAACAGCAGTGCATAGACCTTTTTCCGAGAGCTTCCATCCTTGCTAAAGCTATAAACCAGGCTTCCTGTAATCAAAGAACCCTGGCCCAGCTCCTCGAGAGCCTGTCTGGGAGATTTGTTCTGTGTAGCAATCGGTAAATATAATGAAAATCACAGCATAACTCCCTGCAGGCTCATTCTCAGCAGCAGGGTGAGAGGGTTGTTTGGTTTTCCCTTTCCTCTTCTTTCCTTTCCTTTCCTTCTCTCAGTTCTTTCTCTCTCTCCCTCCCCCCCATATAATTATTTATTTATCTTTTGGTGATGTTTGTTAATGAATGCACCACAAAAATATTAAAATCAATTGGGTGATTTAACACTGCTACTTTGACTTTTTTAACACCTCAAAATCTACCTTAGAGATAGCATAGAAGATTAGAAAAATAAAAATGCATCATGGCTCAAAAAAAAAAAAATAGTGTCCTGAACAACAATTTCACTCCTCCACAACACTCATAGTGATCTGGAGGGCAGACAAGGAGAAGCCTGGGACTGTCCTGTGTCTGCCCTTCATTGCCATGGGGGAGAGGTTGGGACAAACCCTTCAAACAATACTGGCTGCTATTTCCAAACCCACCTAGCTCCTGACCAGCATTCCAGAGAGCACCGAGAACAGAGGGACAAAATTGAGCCATGTGCCCAATGACACTAATTATGCTATAGTTAGTTAAGGAAAACCCAGGTCTTAACATTGGGAATGTAGTGCTTATGTTATTTAAATAGGTAAGTAAAGAAATGTTTCCAATGAACATCAATAAATTACTGTCTCAATAAACATACTCAGCCTGAACTGAATTTCAGACTTCCTTCAAGCATTAAGTAAATATTTACCGATCACTTAACCATGTTTCCAAGCCTTTCTCTGCCTGTTGCCCTGAAGCCTAAGGGGTAAGCAGAAAGGGAGGATGAGGAATTGCAGCTCTGGACACTCAATAGAACACACTGGCATCATTTTGTACCCACCCACTTGTTAAATGCCAAGGATGCTGTTTGTGGGGGAACGGTTTAACTCTCAAGATTTATGAAGTCTGTCAAGGAGAATATTCCTAATATATCATGGACACATGCTTTACTTAGGCAAAGAATAAAGATTTAGATGGTATCAGAATCAAAACATACAATCAGATCCTGCCTTCAGTGCATGAAACCAGTCATACAACTTCAACAAACATGCACAGTGCCTTCACTGAATCAGTAAAATAAAAGTACCAGGCATCAAAACCAAAGAAACACAAAATGTGGTGGTGTTTCACTGCTCAAAAGAGTTTCCATATGATGCTCCAGCACCGAGAACAAAGACAACTAGGGCAGACACAAGTGGTTCCATGTCATGGTCTACTTATCCTGCATGACTTCACTTGCATGTCACCCAAGTTTGCATGTCAGCTGTCCCTGTCTTTAAACAATACACTTAAAAATTTTTGAAATTCATGATCTAAAGATTGTGACTTTGTTGTTTCAGAAACAAAAACTTGTCATAACTGCAACGAATCCACATGACTTATAATGAGCTTTGCCTAGTCTACATCAGAATTCAGATTCACATAACACCCAGACTGGGGTAAGTGATCAGACTGCAAGTGGAACCAGAGTTAGGTAGCTGATATTTAGTATTAGATTCATAAATGATGAGACTGAGGTCATAATTAGAATCTGTGGCCAGAAATACAATTCAAAAGACAGGAAGGAACCAAATGATTTTGTTTTTGTTCATACATGTAAGATTCTCCCTGCAAGTAGCACAGTAGGAGGAGATGTCTCCATCTGGGGAGACTCCAGGGATGTGAGTACGAGGAACACTCTGAAACTGATACATCCACACCCTGGCTGGCAAAGTGTGAGCATGCATGGAGTGGGAACTGATGGCTCTGGGGCCACAGAGCTTCAAAGGGTTCTCAACCTGCTCATCTCTCCTTAGTAACACACGGACATTTGTTAAGTGCCCATGGTGTTAAGCAGAGAGAAATGAGTTAGAGAAGACCCATCATCTCAGAAGTCCCCAGGCCTGCCATGTAAGGAAATGGTGGTGGCCGCCTCTCTTGCTTCTGAGCTGAAAGGGGTAGAAGCCACTTTCTAGGCTGATGGCTGCTAGATGGAAACAAGGCCTCCCTAGCCTGAGCACTTTTGATCTTTAGTTTTTGTAAAGAATGCCAGGTAAGTTTGTCACAACCAACTATAGATAATGGGATAAGAAGCAATTAAAGGGAAACTGAGAAGGATTTTCAGGAAGAAATAAACCATGAGGGACACCATGTTTATGAAGAAAGTTACTAAAGTCATTCCCATTGAGTCGGAGAGGTCAAGGAAGTTAAAAATATTTGGAGGTAGGAGGTAAAATTATTACCATTTGCACATGATGCAACTATTTACAAGAAACTCAGCTGAAAACTCTTACATAAGAGTATCTAGTAACATAACTAGATATGAAACTAATACATGAATTTAAAAGCCTTCAAATATGACTAGACAGAAGAAATAAAGAATTTGTGAAGCATAGTAACAAACATAAAATATATAAGTTTTACACACAGAATGTTTTGTAGATGGGAAACCACAAAAGACTTGAATAAAGGTCAGTTCTTCTATGGGAAAATGCAACATCACAAAAATTCCCATCCTTCTTAATTTAAACATTTAACAATATCTCTAAGAATAAAAGTTGTTAGGTACCAGCTGATAGAGGAAGCTACACAGGCTGATTCCCAAAATAATATAAAATACAAACTGAAAAAAAAGTCACAAAGTGGCTGCCTGACCTGCCAAGAAATCTAAATTGTAAAATTATACTAATAAACGCAGTATGGTACTGGGGCATAAATAATTGGGTATATGGGACAGATTATAACGCTAGGGACAAGGCCAAGGTCTTTTGAGTACAATATGCTTGAATATACAAAGCATTTCAGAGCACAAGAAGAAAATAATGAGTTTTCTTTCAGGGCAGCTGGATACCTATGGTTAAAAATTTTTTTATCTCTACTTCATATTTCCTATTGAAATAAACTCCAGATGATAAAATATGCACATGATAAAATATATATGCACATGCCCATACACAGAGAGAGAACATTTAAAAATATTATACAAAAATTAAAAGCTATTTTTAAAAAATATAAATTCAGCTAAATTAACATTAAAAATTATGCAAGGCAAAATATATTCACAAAGATTTGCAACTCATATCACACATGAAAGTAAGCTTCCTTAAAAATAAGAAAAATAAGAGTGCTCAGAAATCAGTAAGAAAGGGGCTGGGGGTTTAGCTCAGTGGCATAAGTGCCTGCCTTGCA